AGACAGAGACAGAGACAGAGACAGACAGAGAGAGAGAGACAGAGAGAGATTAACCAGTGGAACAATTTGCCTCCAGAAGCTGTGGGTGTTTCATCACTGGAGGCTTTTAAGAAAATCCTGGACAGTCACCTGTCTGAAATAGTATAGGATCTCCTGCTTGAGCAGGGGGCTGGACTAGAAGACCTCCAAGGTCCCTTCCAGCTATTCTGTATTGAGAGCTGTCCTATAGATGGGGGGGGGATGTTACTTACCTTTTTCTGGCAGGATGAATTTACACATGCAGTACACCCAGAGCAAGGTAAGCAGGCCCGAAAGATAGAAGACGCTTTCCCATCCGTACCAGTCAAGCAGGAGGGAGCCAGCCGCCCCCATCACCAATGTCCTAAAAGGGGGAGAGAAAATTAAGACGGTACACAGAATTGGCAGACCAGAATCTATGTGGGAGGTGGCCAGGCTGAGCCTGAGGGAGGGGTCAAACGCATCATGAGTCTCGAATCCCTTCGTCCCAAGACAACTAAGTCCTGCCCACCTTGCATTTCAATGACTCTTATCTGCCGCCATTTTGTTTTGACTATTATCAAGAGCCGTGATGGGGCAGTGGTTAGTATGCACCACTGTAAGCTACTTCTGCTGACTGCCGGCTGCCTGCACTTCAGCAGTTCAATCCTGACCAGCTCAAAATTGACTCAGCCTTCCATCCTTCTGAGGCGGGTAAAATGAGGGCCCAAATTGTTGGGGGCAATAAGCTGACTCTGTAAACCACTTAGAGAGGGCTGTAAAAGCAGTGCGAAGTGGTATATAAGTCTCAGTGCTATTGCTATTAGTACAGGTAGTCCTCAAGTTGCAACGGTTCGTTTAGTGACCGTTCAAATTTTACAATGGCACTGAAAAATGGGATGTCCGTTTTTTCACAGTTATGACCTCTGCATCATCCCCATGGTCATGTGATCAAAATTCAAATGCTTGGCAGCCGGTTCATACTTATGTCCATTTCTGTGTCCCCAAAGTCACGTGATCACTTTTGGCAACCTTCTGACAATCAAAGTCAGTGGGGAAGCCAGATTCACTTAACCACCGGGTGGCTAACTTATCAACTGCAGTGTGATTCGCTTAACGACTGTGGGAAGAAAAGTGGTAAAATGGGGCAAAACACTCACTTAACAAATGTTTCACTTCACAACATAAATTTTGGGCTCAGTCAGTTGTGATCGTAAGTCGAGGACCACCTGTGTTCTTTTTCAATCCCTTTTCCTTTATTGCTCCGTTCTTTGCTTGAAGATACAGATACAGATTAACACAGTTGGAAGGGACCTTGGAGGTCATCTAGTCCAACCCCCTGCTCAAGCAGGAGACCCTACACCATTTCTGACAGATGGCAGTCCAGTCTCTTGAAAGCTTCCAGTGATGAAGCTCCCACAACTTCTGAAGGCAACTTCTGTTCCATTGGTTGATTGCTCTCACTGTCAGAAAATTTCTCCTTATTTCTAGGTTGAATTTCTCCTTGAACAGTTTCCATCCGTTGTTCCTAGTCTGGCCTTCAGGTGCCTTGGAGAATAGCTTGACCCCTTCCTCTCTGTGGCAGCCCCTCAAATATTGGAAGACGGCTATCGTGTCTCCCCTGGTCCTTCTTTTCATCAAACTAGACATACCCAGTTCCTGCAACCGTTCATCATATGTTTTAGCCTACAGTCCCCTCATCATTCTTGTTGCTCTTCTCTGCACTGTTTCTGGTGTCTCCATATCTTTTTTATAGCGTGTGAGAAACTCACCCAAACTGAGATCCAGTTCCAACTGTGCTGTAGGTCAATGCTCGTTCACTCTCCTGTACCTTCTGGGAAAGCAGACTAGCCAAGGCAGGAAAATAAACCCCTAATAAAGTGGACAAAGAAATAGGAAACAAAAAGACAGAAAGAAATCCCATTAAGGTATTCCTCAACTTACACCATTCCTATGAGCCACGGTGGCACAGTGGTTAGAATGCAGTACTGCAGGCTACTTCTGCTGACTGCCGGCTGCCTGCAATTTGGCAGTTTGAATCTCACTGGCTCAAGATTGACTCAACCTTCCATCCTTTTGAGATCGATAAAATGAGGACCCGGATTTTTGGGGGCAATAGGCTGACTCTGTAAACCACTTAGGGCTGTAAAGCACTGTAAAGCAGTATATAAGTCTAAGTGTTATCGTTATTTAGTGACCTTTCGAAGCTACAATGGCACTGAGGAAAATGGCCATTGACTTTTTTTTTTAAATTTGATTTATATGCCGCCCTTCTCCGAAGACTCAGGGCGGCTTGCAATGCGTTAAGCAATAGCCTTCATCCTTTTGTATATTTATACAAAGTCAGCTTATTGCCCCCACAACTGGGTCCTCAATTTACCTATCTTAGAAAGGATGGAAGGCTGAGTCAACCTTGAGCCTGGCGAGATTCGAACCTGCAGTAATTGCAGGCAGCTGGTCTTAATAACAGGGTGCTTTAGACCACTGTACTACCAAGGCTTCTTTTCACATTCATCCCACGGTCACGCAATCAAAATTCAGATGCTGGGCAACTGGCTCGTATTTATGACTGTTGCAGTGTCCCAGGGTCCCATGATCACCGCCGTGGCGGAGTGGTTAGAAGACAGTATTGCAGGCTAACTCTGCCCATTGTTGGGAGTTCGATCCTGACCGGCTCAAAGTTGACTCAGCCTTCCATCCTTCCACGGTCGGTAAAATGAGGACCCAGATTGTTGGGGTCAAGAGGCCAACTCTGTAAACCGCTTAGAGAGGGATGTAAAGCACTGGGAAGCGGTATCTAGGTCTAAGTCAGGGGTCTGCAACCTGCGACTCTGGAGCCACATGTGGCTCTTTCATCCCTCTGCTGCGGCTCCCTGTCGCTCAAAATATGTGTCACAACTGCCAATGTGCGACACCCGCCGGCACATGATTTATTGAGCTTTTCGACCCATCTTTTTTTGGGGGGGGAGTTCAAAATGTTTTTGTTGCATGCAGAAATAAAAAAAAAATGTTTTCTCTATAGCAGTTCATTGATTTCATAAATGCAACACACTATAGTTTTTTTACACATAGCATAAAGATTTAAAAAAATGATATATGCAGTGTTATCTTCATTTTAGATGTCAAAAGGGTTTTGTGGCTCCCGGTGTTTTCTTTTCTGTGGGAAACAGGTCCAAATGGCTCTTTGAGTGTTTAAGGTTGTCGACCCCTGGTCTAAGTGCTCTTGCTATTATTGCTCTGAAATGAAAGGCTCCTCCCACCTCTAGGAACTAAAATAATAATAAGAGACATATTTTTTTATAACAAATTATTTTAAGTGCTATTGCTATGGCTATCAATTTTTGCCACCTTCTGACAAGCAAAGTCGATGGGGAAAGTCAGATTCCCTTAATAGCTTAACAACCGTGGTGATTCACTTAACAACTACGGCAAGAAAGGTTGTAAAATGGAACAAAACCCACTTAACAAGTATCTCACTTAGCAACAGAAATTATGGGCTCAGTTGTGGTCGTAAGTCGAGGACTACCTGGATGTCAGCACTTCAACCTGCATTTACTCTAGTAAAATCAACCTGACACTGTATCCTATTCCTGTGGCAGCAAACTTCTACAGTAGCAAAGCTTGCCATTAAAAATGTTGTGTTATCCTTACGAGTGTGAAATAGCACTAGCAGTAGCACTTATAAACTGGTTTTATAGCCCTCTCTAAGCGGTTTATAGAGTCAGCCTATGACCCTCAACAATCTGGGTCCTCATAATAATAATAAAGTCCCTGTTATTCCAATTTCTCAGATGAGTCAAGAGTTTGGCAACAGACTGTCTCACCTTGCAATAGTCCCATAAGGAAGCGAGTAAAGGTCATCAGAGTCAGCTGGGCTGAGCTTGAGGAAATGAGGAGGGGCGTGATGGCAGTGATGGATCCCCAGGCCGAGGCCGAGAGGAGAAGGACTTTCTCTCCACCTATCCTGGAAAACAATTAGGAACGTTGATCAGCAAGAGCATTTCCTTCACCCCAAAATTGCTTGTTGACCCCTTCCTTCAAGGCAGGGGGTCTCCCGAACTTGGCCACTTGAAGACTTGTAGACTTCAACTCCCAGAATTCCACGGCAGGCTAGGGAGGGAATGCTGGGAGTTGAAGTCCAGAAGCCTCAAAGTTGCCAGGTTTGGGGACCCTGTGGTTTAGTGCAAGAAGCAGAGGTTGAAAACCGGAACTGGGGCAATGACGCAAGGTGCGTGCAGAGCTGAAGAAGCTTCTTGGATGAGAAGCGAAACGCCTTCAAAGAAAAAGCAGAAAGTCCCGTTGCCTCTTGAAAAAAAAAAGCACCTTTGGGACAACCTGGATGACTGAGAATCTCCATAGACAAGGTACATGATCCAAAATCCTTGCAGAAGGAACAAATGTTTCCTTGGCCTGCTGTGGTTTAAGCACGGGATTAAATCCGGGAGTGGGTTCTACTTATCTTTACTACCGGTTCACAAAGTACTCGGACTGTCACAGGCCCCCGACACGAGTTAACGTCGAGCTGACCACGCTCCCTGCCCCTCACAAGGTCAAACACAACCCTGATGCAGCCCTCAATAAAAATCGAGTTCGACACCCCTGATTTAATGTAATATTGTCCATACCGGTCACTCAAGTGGCCTCCAACAACTTGGGTCAGGCAGTAACCCCAAAAGAAGCTGCTCAAGACAATTCCGGATTGTTTCTTGTCCCAGTCAAAGCGAGAGCTCATGGTGACCACACAGATGGGCATGAGGACCCTGGCGCAGTAAAGCAGGCAGGTTCCCAGCAGGAGCATCGTGGTCCATAATCGGGATTCAGGCCTGTTAATATCAGGAGAGAGAGAATATTAGCGTGTTATGTATTTAGGTACCACGGTCAAATAGTCCAGTCCTAAAAAAAACCCTCCATCCTGTAGAACAGGGGTGTCAAACTCAAGGCCCGTGGCCAGATTCGGCCTGCGGGGTACTTACATCTGGCCAGTGGGGCTGCCCTAGAAATAGCAAAGGACTGACTGCGGTGCCTCTGTCAGTGAAAACGGAGTTCGGGAGGGCTATGCGCAGTCCTCCCAGGCTCCGTTTTCAGCTGTGACTGCCTCCTGCCACTGTCTGCCAGAGCTCAGGGATGTGGCCGGAGGCCGTCGCGGCTGAAAATGGAGCTCGGGAGGCCGTTTTCACTGGCAGAGCACTGGGGCCACCACAGACGCCCACGACACGAGTGATGTCAAGCTGGCCATGCCCACCCTGGCCACGCCCACCCAGGCCCCCTGAGGTCAAACACAACCCTGATGCACCCCCCTGTTGTGACCCAGGCCCAAGTAGCTATTATCAGACGCAATCAGTTCTAAACAAACAGACTTTATTAGAACAGCTGAGAATTAACTCATTCTCAGCATAGTCCAAACTAATTCGAAACAAATTCTTCATAACACAATTCTTCAGCCTTATCACCAACCTTGGTCTACTGTGGCAAACTGCCAAAGGCTTTTCTTGGCAAAAGTTCAGAAGCAGAAGGCGACAACAAGAAATAAATGCAGCAAGACAAGAAACAAATTTATCAACGTTGTTTTCTGACAAAGAGCCCAAGAGCCGTTCCTGGTCTTTTAAGCCTTATGGGACGGGCCAATTATCTCTTGGCCTTACTCCTGAGTTGTCCTTTTTACTTTAGCTGCTCTTGCCTTCTGGAAGCTGTTCTCATACGTGCACTAGGAACAGGCTCCTCCTGTTCCTCTGCCTCTCTGCTGTCCGCCTCTGGAGGCTCCGGAGTCCGCACATCACTCCTAGATGGCCCTGGTCCCATCTCTGCCTTTGACGCAGACCCCCCATCTGGGCCTTCCCCAGCCTCCAGGACTGGCCCATGTTCTTCCTCAGCCTCCTCACTGTCCGACTCCGCTGCCAGCTCCACAGGCTGCTGGCGGACCACAACACCCTCAATGAAATAGAGTTTGACACCCCTGCTGTAGAAGGACAGGCAAGGGGCGGAATTTGGGGTAGAGTCAGGAGAGGAATCAGCCTAGAATCATTATGTTCCCACAAGTAATCTAAGTCCAACTCCTCTTGAATTCCGTTAACTCGTATCTTGATCAATTTTGTGCTGACCACGAGTTGACTAGTCTTTTGTCTATAGACATGAGCAATAATAATATTATTAAAAATTAATAAATATTAATAATATTAGCTGGAACTTAATGTGTGGTGGGACCAACGTCGACTCTCTCTGAACATTGCTTCCAAAAGCCATATCATGGCTATCTTCCATTTTAAAGAGAAAATTAGAAAACTCGGCTACAAGTGGTAAAATAGACTTATCATACTTTTTTTTTTAAAAAAGTGTATGTTTATGTATGTAAAATCCTTCTTTTTCTAAAATCAACTAGAATTTTAAAAAATGATGAATACCAAAAGGCTGCCCATCCCTAGATTAGAGGGATCTCGTAACCCAACCTGTAAATCACATTTAATAAGAAAATAAAGAGTTCAGAGGATTATGAACTGTTTGCGAACAAATGACTAATTTTACGACCCAAATCCTCTCTTTAAGCACCCCTGAACTCCAACTTCCTTCTAAGTAGACCTACTTAGTAAATGTCACTTAATTGCCAACCTATAATTAAGTTAGTGTCACCATCGGGAACCACAGAGGCCTAATCTGAAAAGCGGGTGGGCAGAGAAACAACCTAAATTTGCAGTACCTTGGCTTTTTTCAGAACTCATCTTTTTATTCCTTTTATTGTTTTATTGAGTTTTGAACAAACAGCAGTGAAACTCAGCCAATACGTTTTATAGGGTTAACTCTGCTTGCAATTCAAATATTTGCTTCCTCCTTGCAGTGTTGAAAGAAGGCATAATCCACCACAAGGCACTACCTAAGCCCTATATTTAGAATTGAATAGAATAACAAGAGTTGGACGTGACCTTGTAAGTCATCTAGTCCAACCCCACCCCCAAGCAGGAGACCCTACACCATTTCCTCCAGTCTCTTCTTGAAAGCTTCCAGGGATGAAGCTCCCACAACTTGCAAAGGCAACTTCTGTTCCATTGGTTGATTGTTCTCACTGTCAGAAAACTTCTCCTTATTTCCAGATTGAATCTCTCCTTGATCAGTTTCCATCCATTATTCCTTGTCTGGCCTTCAGGTGCTTTGAAAAAATAGCTTGACCCTCTCCTCTCTCTGGCAGCCTCTCAACTATTGGAACACTGGGGGAGGAGCGGGGAGGAGAGGGGAGGGGGAGGAAGAGGAGGAGGAGAAGAAGAAGGAAGAGGAGGAGGAGGAGGAGGAGGAGGAGGAGGAGGAGGAGAAAAAAGAAGAAGAAGAAGAAGAAGAAGAAGGAGAAGGAGAAGGAGAAGGAGAAGGAGAAGGAGAAGGAGAAGGAGAAGGAGAAGGAGAAGGAGAAGGAGGAGTAATGAGAGAGGAGTGGTGTTGCAAATTAGTACAGTAATGATCTGAGGACATAGAATAATACAGGTGGAAGGGACCTTTGAAGTCTTCTAGTCCAACCACCTGCACAAGCAGACCTTATACCATTTTTGACAGATGGCAGTCCAGTCTCTTCTTGAAAGCCTCCAGTGATGAAGCTCCCACAACTTCTGAAGGCAACTTCTGTTTCATCAGTTGATTGTTCTCACTGTCAGAAAACTTCTCCTTATTTCTCAGTTGAATCTCTCCGTGATCAGTTTCCATCCATTATTCCTTGTCTGGCCTTCAGGTGCTTTGGAAAATAGCTTGACCCCCTTCCTCCTCTCTGTGGCAGCCCCTCAAGTATTGGAAGATGGCTATCATGTCTCCCCTGGTCCTTCTTTTCACTAGACTAGCCAGGCCCAGTTCCTGCAACCATTCCTGCAATTTAGGACAGTCCAAATGTCGCTAATACTACAGGTAGTACTTGTCTTAAAACAATTCTTTAAGTAATCGTTCAAAGTTACAACGGCACTGAAAAAAGTGACTTAGCACCGTTTTTCACACTTACAACCATTGCAACACCCCCATGGTCACGTGATCAAAATTCAGATGCTTGGCAACTGATTTCAGATTAACAGAGTTGGAAGGGACCTTGCAGGTCATCTAGTCCAACCCCCTGCCCAAGCGGGAGACCCTACATCTGCCTCTACCTAGGATCAAACTCACAACCTCCTGATTGTGAGGCAAGAGCTCCACCTCTAGGCCCCAGAGCCAGATTTCATATTCGTGATGGTTACACTGTCCTGGGGGTCACAAGATCCCCTTTTTGCGACCTTCTGATATGCCAGGTTCACTTAACCACCATATAACTAGTTTAACACACTGCACCAATTCACTTAACAACTGTGGCAAGAAAGGTCGTAAAATGGGGCAAAACTCACTGAACAAATGTCTCGCTTAGCAACAGAAATGTTGGGCTCAATTGTGGTCGTAAGGCGAGGACTAAACCTGTACAGGAAATACTTTGATTCAACTCTACTCTAAATTCCAACTCTTAAATGATAGAACGCAAAACGTACTAATCCATATTTTTTTCCCTTGAGTTTTGAACAACGGTTACCGCACTGAAACTTGGCAAATACGTTTTATAGGATTAACCCTGCTTGCAATTCAAACAATTAGCTTCCTCCTTGCACTGTCAAAAGAATGCGTAATCCATCACACAACAGTGTTTCACAACCTTGACAACTTTAAGCTGTGTGGACTTCAACTCCCAGAATTCCCCAGCCTTACTTACACAACCTAAGGCAGCCCAGATGTTGCTATGCTACAACTCTCATCATCCATCCCCACTGGCCCTAGCTAAGGAAGATGGGATCTGGAGTTCAGAGGCTCCCAGTTTTACCCATTCCTAGCCTGGGGGGGGGGGGGAAAGGATTGAGGATTTCCCCAAGCTGATGTCTTCCAGCCATTTTGTGCATTCCAAGCCAACATGGCTGCCACCGTGCAAGCAAGGAATTCTGGGAGATTTAGAACAAAACAGCTGCGAAGCACAGCTGGGAAAGCCTAGATCAGTGATGGCTAACCTTTTTGCCGTCGCGTGCCAAAAGCAGGGGGAGTGTGGAGGGATCACGCACACACGTGTGCCCACACCCATAATTCAAGAGGCTTTCTTGGAGTCTGGGGAGGGCAAAAATCGCCTTCCCACCCGCCGGAGGCTGGAAACGGCCAGTTTCCCAACTTCTGGTGGGCCCAGAAGGCCCGAATATCAGCTGGCTGGCGCATGCATGCGTGCGTGCTCACAGATATGGCTCTAAGTGCCACCTGTGGCACGCGTGCCATAGGTTCGCCATCACGGGCCTGGATAGTCATAAAAAGACCAAACATGCCTGCAATCGCCTCTCACAACCTTATAAAGTTAACAACATGTCCCCTTTTATTCTCTTCCTACAACCTCTTTTGCTTAGAAACATCCAGGCTAAAGTTTCCAAAAACCAATTCACCATTTGGTGCCATTTGGATGCCATTTGGATGCACATTTCAAACCCTCTGAGTTCCATTCATTTTTCCCCAACTTGGGCACATGGGTGGTCTTAGTTCCCAGAATTCCCTAGGCCATTCCTGGCTGCTGCTAAGTATTCTGGGACTTGAAGTCCACACTGCTGGAAAGCAACCTGGCCACGAAAGGCTGGCTGATCTACTTAGATTTTCCTCCAAAAAAACTTAAAAGTAAATCTGATGTTTGTCCGTTATGATAGCAGCCACGTTGGCACAACCCACTTAGCCCAACTCGGAGTTAAATAGAATCAAACCTCTAACCAAGAAAAAAGACACCGGGTAACACGGGAAATCATGGCTGGCTGTAGTTTCCCAGGTCGTGTGTGTGTGTGTGTGTGTGTGTGTGTGTGTGTGTGTGTGTGTGTGC